CACAGGCCCACACCCAAGAAGCCGGCCCTGGGAGTCATGGAAGACGGACGAAATGTGACAGAAACAAGACAGTTCCTTTGAAAGCATTACTTACAAATCTTGATATCAAGTGGTTTTCTTGCTCTTCCCTGGATTTTCTTAAAAGTAGAATGGAAGAGGGAAGGACAAGTTTAAGTGGTAGAAAGTTCTGGTTTCATTAGATCAGATTACTTGAAGGTTTCTTGGGACTTTGATTGAAGATGGTAAACAGGTGTTTTCAAGTTTTTATAATAAGGTTTAGGCCAGATTTTCTAAAATAGTTTCATAGGAATTTTTAAATGTTGAAAGTATTATTATCTCAGGAAAATATGATTAAGTTTAAACTTTAGTCTATTTTCCAGGAAAACTGAGAAATCTAATTGCCTGGTTTACTCCAATATTGGTTGTTTAGAATAATTTATCATTTTTAGCAGGAGAGGCAGAAGTCTAACTCAGGCCTAGCGTTCCCTTTCTGAGGAAAATGCTGTAGGGCACGGAATGGATTTCTTCCTCTGCCTAATTATTCAAGGATAAGCCTTGTGATCTAAGAACGAACAACATGCTCTTGTATCCACGGTAAGGGGATTAACGGTCTCGTGCCTGTTAAACAGCAGCCCAGCTCCTGTTTAGTCCTTTGATTTCCAGAAACAAGAGCCCGATTCTTCCCACCCTAGTTGGCCCTGTCTGGCGCCACTGATGAGGAGTGGCAGTGGAGCCAGTTCTGAGACAGTTACCTTCAGACCAGGGCTCCCCACACTTGAGGGATGGGAGTGGACCCTTCTACCCTTTTAGTGATTTGCTGACAGGAGCGACTGTATATGTGTAAATACTACATACAGCTTTGTGAAGTAGTCGGACAAAATTGTTATTCCAGTGAATACAAAGAATTCCATCAGACCCATCTATATTTACAAATCTTGAAAGTGTAGGTTTGCTGTTTAGCTGTGCTAATGCCATTTCAGTCATTATTTATTTATTTTTATTGAGGTATAATGGACAGATCACATTATATTAGTTGCGGGTATACGACATAATGATTTGATATTTGTGTGTATTGTGAAATGATCACCTCAGTAAGTCTAGTTAACATCCGTCACCGTGCATTGTGATATAATCTTTTTTCTTGTGATGAGAACTTTGTAAGATTTAGGCATTTCAGTTTATTCATTACATCAAAACATACTTTAAAAGACATGTTTAGTTCAGTAAGTGCTGTCGGCTGATTAATTTTTCATTTTGTGCAAATCTTAGAGGACATTCAGTGTGGTCACATTTAGAAGAAAGGGCGTGGAAGAAGTCACGCTGGTTGGACATAATCTATCACTGGAAGGAATCTGCATCTTTTGGTCGCTAAGTAAATTATCTACTGAAATCTATAAATCACTCTTCATGTTACTCCCTTTAGCACCCACTTTCCTTATATGTACACTTCCTCTTGGCTACCTCTATCTGCACTATATTCAGGAGTCTTCTTATACTAGAGAGTTGTCTGTGTTATGTTGTCTGAATATTTGTGATTGGGGAAACAAAGTTTTAGGGAAGTAATCTCCCTCCTTTCCTTCCTCCCTTTTCTGTTATTGCCGTGCTGGCCGAATTTACTTTCTCAGTTACTCTCTCTTGGAATAATGTAGAAACAGTGAGTAAAAACAGTGGAGCTCATTACTCCGTTCTGTTAGTTCATTCATCCATCTATTCATATCACAGTCACTGAGCGCCCACACGGGCCACACTTCAGGAATACAGGGCCTCACAGTGCAGGGTAGGCTTGGGCCTTGGCCTCGTGGCCCAGGGCCCAGAGAAGTCTTGTGTTGCAGATGGACAGAGTGTTTGATAGGCTCCCAGGGAACGCTCAGCTGATAAAATTGAAAACGGTGCTCAAAGCTTGGAGACTATGAAGCTCTACTGTGGGTAGAAATTAGAGCCCCTCCTGACAAAGACTGTGGACAAACCACGTGGAATCCAGAAGCCCTGTGCCCTCCCCTCTGTCCTGGGTCTGTTCTCCGACGGAGCATGGCGTCTTGTGGGCAGATCCGGGCATCTCGGGAGTTTTGGCTCCCACTTTGGTTTTAATCTTCTGGTGAGCTCACACTGTGACCTTGATCTTCAAGCGTCTTAATAGCACTAAACTCCTAGACCCGGCACTCATGGGCAAGGTCGTGCAATCTAAATGCCCCTGCAGTAGAACTCTTTTCCTAACCCTCCCTAACCATAGTAGCTAATCATTGTTAGCTCTTGGTAAACATCTGTGAGTGAATGAAGCATGCTTAACGTCCTGGCTCTTAAACCAGGGCCCCGTCTACTGGGCTGCAGTGGACACAAGCAGACGGTGTCCCACCCACCATTTCTCCCTCGTGTTGCACCTGAATCCCCTGGGCGGATACTCCCACGGTGAAGGTGGCGGGAATGGCCACAGTAGAAGGAGCTCCCCGCCGCCTGCATTTTTTCTCTTGTTGGACCTCAGTGTCTTACTCTTGCGGTACACAGGACATCCGTTAATTTCCCAAAGGGTCATCCAGACAGGGAGGAAGCCCCAGCCCACGAGGGTGTCTCCATCGTCCTATGCAGCCTCTGCCTTGCAGCTGGCTCCAGAAGCAGGGCTGTGCTTTCCCCTGGCCCTTTCCCCACAAGCTCGCTACTTTGGGAAGTGGGTTTACTCATTACCAGTTCAACTGCCTGGATCAGAACAAAATGTAAACACATCTCTGTAGTTCTGTTTGTATAGTTGATATTTGTAGAGCAGAAGCTTACTGTTTTGTGTGCTTAAAACCTTTGACTTACTTTTCCTGGCTAAACCATCATGTAGGAGGGATACTTACTGCTCTTCTACTGAGGAAGACCCTAAGCAGTTAACCGTACCCTCACTGACACACGAAGGTCTCAAGCCCTTTCTGGTAACTCACGCAGAGTGCAGTGCCTCGTCTCATGTCTAGCAAATGGCAGGGAGTAAACTTCAGAATAAAAGCTTGATTTATAGAGTTCCAGCCCAGGATGTTTTGTATGTAACAGTAACTGTCTCCATTGAAAATGTTGAGTTTAATATTTTCAGCCAGCAATTTTAATGTTTTGGACATCTTTATTTCTAAGTAGATAACATATTTTCCTGTTATTTGCTGAGGTGCTGTGTTAAAGCCTGAGCTGCCACCCAGTGGAAACACGGAATGAAGGACTTGAATTCGTAGTAAGGGATAGTGGGTTCCATGGTGATGGGGACAGAGGAAGCGCTTGGGCCACAGTGTGTCGATGCAGCTGTGTGCATCCCTCCTCCTGCCTTGGTTTCTTCATAGCACATCTCCCCACCTGTCAGTGTGTACATTTATTTAAATGTCTACCTTCTGTCTCCGCCCCCTTAGAAAGCGTGCTCCATGGGAGGGAGAAGGGACTTTGCTATGTTTACAGCTCATTCTCTGACTCTCTAGAGGGGAAACCTTGAAATTCATGTTTGAACAGTATTTGAAGAGGCTTTAGATGGAAAGAACAACACAGGCAAAGTGTCCAAATGACCATTTACTTGGTTTCCGGCCCCCTCTATTATGCCAGCAATATTATTTTGTATTGTTTTGATTTATATAAATGGCTTGTGCTACCCATAATATGCCACTTCCCGTCTTTTTCATTTGACAGTGTATTTTTGAGATATACCTTTTTAAAAAAAAAACGTGTAACTCTAGTTCCGTAGTTCCCAACTGGGGGTGATTTTTGTCCTTCAGCGAGCGTTTGGCAGTGGCTGGAGACATGTTTGATTGTTTTTACTGGAGGAGGTCCTGATGATATCGAGTCCACAGAGGCCAGGTTTGCTTCTAAACATCCTACAACGCACAGGGCATCCACATCATAGAATTATCTGGCCCAGACCGAACAGTGCAGAAACCCTGGGCTCTTTCTTTCCTTTAATCTGTGGAATAGTAGTCCCTTGATAGCAATACCATGTTCACTTTATCCCTTTCCCTGTTGGTGGACATTTAGCTTCTTCCAATTCTCTGCTGACAGGGAGGGCTGCGAAGAACATCCTCACCAGTGTGTGTGTGTGCGTGTGTATGTGTGTGTGTGTGTGTGTGTGTGTGTGTGTAAGAGTGTTTCTGGTGGCTGCACTGTGTTCTAGGAAACACTTCCAAATGCCGCTTCAGAAGGGCTGGACCCATCGACACCCACAGCACGGCCTGGGATTCCAATTCTCTGCATCATTTCCAGCATTTGATATTTTTTAACTTTTCAGTTTTGGTCAACCTGAAGATGATAAATAAGTAGCTCATTTTTAAAAACCGCATTGTCTGATTGTTAATAAGGCCCCAAACATGAGTCATTCGCACCCCACAGCATTCTGCAAAGTGGGGGATATGTTTTTGCCAAGCACACACCACTTCATGTTGTTCATCTCTGTGTCTTTGAAGAAGGCACATTTTGGGAGACCGGGCTTGACTGTTTCTGCCAGTAGAGGTCACTGTCCCTCAGTGGCTCTCCACCAGTGTCATTGTGCACTGCCCGCCCCACCCCCTCCCCCCCAAACATCTGGCAGGGCCTGGAGACACGTTGTATGTTTACAATATGGATTATCTACTGGCACCTAGAGGATAGAGACCAGGGATTTTGCTAAAACCCTACAATGCAGAGGTCTGCACCCCACAAACAAAGACTTGTCTGGCCCCAACAGAGCCAGGGTGGAGAAACCATCATGTGGATGAAATCCTAATGTTTGAATCTTTGAAAGAAAGACCATGACAATCTCTAGGATAATGAAGCTATTTTAGTATTATTTAAAATAAGAACAACCTTTAAACCGTATGAAGTGGCAATAGGGGAGAAGCACACCTTCCTGAGAAGGGTCCTCCGAGAAGGGTCTTCTCAGGGGCAAAGGCAGCAAGGGTGGGTGGGCAGGAGGGAGTGCAGGCCTGGACGTCAGCAGTGCTTCCTCGGGGCGGCCTCTGCAGGTAGGAGAGGTGGCTCTGGGGCTTGGCAGCTCCTGGCTGGACTGGAGGGAGCTGGCCTGGCGTTCCGTGCCAGTGACTCAGGCAGGGGTAGGGCAGGTGTCAGCTGGGTAAAAGAAATGTGGGTTTGAGTGTTAGGAGGAGGTGGCCTTGGCTCTCAGGACTCAAGGGGGACGTCAGGCTGCAGGAGGCCCAGGCCCAGGAGTGCTGATCTGCCCCCATCTCTCCAGCGAGGCTCTGTGACTGTGCCCTGGGCGGGTGGAGGGTGGGGGGTGGCCTCACAGCAGGGTGGGCGGCAGGCAGGGAAGGCTCAGGCAGGGCTGCTGTCAGGCCGGGGCTCAGTGTCCTCTTCTTGGAGGCGCTTGCACCAGGAGCAGATGCTGCTTCTCAGAGGCCCCGGCCTGGGCACAAAGACAGGGACCACTCCATTCCTCATCACGGGCCGGAAGGCCGACAGCCTGGGCTCGGGACTCTTAGACCTGAGAGGCCCGTCGAGCCGCCTTTGTCCTTCCTCGCATCGGCTGAGGGCCCTCAGCGCGGTCTCCTTGGCACAGGGATCCGGCGACTTCTGGCTGGGCGGACACGTGGACAAGCTGCTTAGGCTTTCAACGGGGGCGGTACGGATGTCCACCAGGCTCTGCGTGTGGCAGGAGAGGCGGGCGTTCCACTGGGACCTCATCGTGAAACCGTTGCCATGGCCGGAAAACCCCAGCCCCGAGGAGGTGCGGAGGGGCGGCCCACTGGGAAGCGGCCACCTGCTGCGGAACCAGAGCCTGCGATCCTGGCGGCGGCGGCGGCGGTAGCACAGGATTTGGCACCCGTCCCGGCCCATCGGGAGGCAGGTTCCGCGGGCGGCCCGGTCCATGGGAACCATGGGGACCGGCGCTTCCGGGCGTGGGCTGGCTGCGTGGCCTTGGCCATGCCCAGGTACATGCTCAGGTAGCTGCCCATGCTCACGGGTCAGCGGGGTCGGACCTTCGACGGGCTTTGGCTTCTGGGCGGCCCCGAAGTCTGTAGACGCGAAGCTTACGGCGCTGAGGCGACCGTTGGCATCGGGGTGTGGGACGGTTCGTGGGGCGTCGGAACCTCTGGGCATGAGGTCCTGCGTGCGCCAGGCCGGGGCCTCGCGGACGCACCCGGGGCCTCGCGGACCCGGGGCCTCGTGGGGCGCACCTGTGTTCTGAGCACAGGGGATCCTTCAGCTCCCACTGCTGGCCCAGGCGCTTGGCTCTGGGTGGCGGGGGAGCCCTCCACTTTTTGCCCTTGACATTTAAAGGGAGAAAATATAATAATTTGTACCAGGCCCTGAAAATTGACTGAAGGGCGCTCTCTTTCATTACTGTAAAAATGAACAAAATGCACTTGAATGCTCCTTTAAGGAAAAAGAGCGAATTTACTTGTATTTCTACAGAGGCTGTGTGTTTCTTCTAGAATGGTTGCTAATGTCACTTTTTGTAATTTTATTCTTAAGGACCTGGTGAAAGCCTTTCGGGACTTATTTTTTAGCTCCGACAACATTGGTTTGTTGTGGATTCTCCTTTTATTTTCTGCGTTCATAGATTTCATACATTCATATATAGATTGTCTCTAATCTGAACACTAATGCCATTTCTTTCTTGTCATTTCTACTGGTGATCCAGGTATATAGAGTAGAGTGAGGCACATTTCCAATTTATAGTTGGAAGCAGGTACTCGCAAAAACAGTGTTCAAAGCCTGCTGGTAAATGTTACAGCACTTCAGTCTGGGGGTCTGTTGTTGGGCCGACCCCAGTTACTGGAGTAGGAGAGGGGTGGAAACAGTGGCCAACAGAGGAAGCAAGTCCTCGATCAACAGATTTGTCTGGTTCTGAGAGGTGGAAGACTGAATGAAGAGGATACTAAAAAGATCCTGATGAGGAAACACAAAAGGCTTTTGTGTCAGAGAGGCCAAGAGTTGAGGAAACAGGGATGCTGTCAGCTAACAGGTGATGAAGAATGAGATACGTAATGCCCTCTACTGAGCCATTCTGTTTTTTCTTTCTTTTTTGGTAGATTCCTTATTTTAGGAATGATCCCCAAGTCTATGATTTTGAAATAAAGGAAATTTCCTATATTATTTTCTTCTTAGTAGGACATTTCTTCACCTCTTAAGACGGTAATAACACCAGAGTGGAATATCTAATGCAATTTGGTATTATTCGCTCATAATGTACTTTTTTTCTTCTCATCATCTGCAGAATTTCCCACGTCCTACTTTGCAATGTAACCCAGCGGGTGTCATTCTGGTTTGTGGTTACCGATCCTTCAAGGAATCACACCCTTCCTGCTGTTGAGGTACAGTCAGCCATAAGGTAATCACCGCTAAATATGCCTTCCACTGGTAAATCAAGGTATTGATTAATTCAGCTGTTTTGATAGATTTTGAAGACTTCTCTCTCTGGTTCACAGTGATTTATTTATTAAGATGTCAAAGGTTTCATTTCGTTACTTTGGAATAGAGATTAGTATAGATCAGTGGTTCTCATCCAGGGGCAGTTTTGCCTCCAAGGAGACATTAGGCAATGTCTGGAGACATTGTTGTTGTACAGTGCTGGTGACGGAGTAGGCAGAAGTTAGGGACGCCAGTTAACATCCTCCTGTGCTCAGGATAGCACTTCACAGCAAAGAACTATTCAACCCCAAATATCCATTGTGCTGTGGATGAGAAGCCTTGGTTTAAACATTAGCTAAGAAGGTTTAGTACTGTCTTCTTTTGGCGAGAACACCTTGTACGGCACTATCGTGTGATAGTTTGCCATATGCCTTCTCGAGCCTGAATGCTTAGGTGTTTTTTGTTTTAGGGGAGTATAGTTGCTTTACAATGTTGTGTTAGTTTCTACTGTACAGCAAAGTGAAAGTCTTTACCTTTAAAAGATAATTTTTTGAAAAAAAGTAAAAGCATGACTTTCATACAAATCAAAAATAAATGCTATCCAAGATTCTGTTATCTTATTAGTTAATGAGGGAACTAGTAAGATGTTAAAACCAGTTTAAAGGAGACTTCAAGGCAGCATGCAAATGCAGGAATTGAAGAATGGTGATGTTTATTTATTAAAAGATACACCAGTCTATCCATTGGCAGTGCTCCACCAGACACAATTCACCTTGATTTTCTGTGGACAAGAATCATTTACATTGTATCAGTTTTCTCCAACTTACACATATGCAAAATAACTCAAAAACAGTAAAAGGTGGAAATTGTCCAGAAAGGTAGACTTGCAGGACACTCAGTCATATTTTTCACCCATTTGAAGTTTTACCCATTTTTTCCTGACAGTTCCCCTCCTTCTCTCCTTGGGATTCTAACAAACTTTCAGAAGTGAAATGTATTCTTTTCTGCACAGAAGCAGAAGAAGCAGTTTGTTTTTATTTCAACTAATGTGCACTTTATGTGTGTCAAAACTTCAAATCCCACACATGATTGGTGTTGGGCAAAGGTATATTGGAAGAATGAGTTCACAAAATAAACTATTTCCTGAAAAAGAATGAAACAAAGTTCATTCTTCTTACAAAGGATTTATTTACAAGTTACTGAAATGCATATTTTTCTCGTTACCAAAGAGAAATGTCTAGTGAAAGAACTCATCTGCTCTTTGTAAAATATTAATGTTTAAGATAATGAGTGTATAATCAAATGCCAAGTGTTTTTGTGTGAATAATCATCTGTTTCCCTTGCTGAAGCAAAGGCATTGAGGCTCTATACCCATGGGAAATGATTTAACAAGGTTTTCTTTGTTTTGTTTTTTTAATAAATAAATTAATTAATTAATTAATTTTGGCTGCATTGGGTCTTCGTTGCTGTGTGCAGGCTTTCTCTAGTTGCGGTGAGCGGGGGCTGCTCTTCGTTGCGGTGAGTGCGCCTCTCATTGCGGTGGCTTCTCTTGTTGCGGAGCACAGGCTCTAGGCGCACAGGCTTCAGTAGTTGTGGCTCAAGGGCTCTAGAGCACAGGCTCAGTAGCTGTGACACACGGGCTTAGTTGCTCCGCAGTATGTGGGATCTTCCCAGACCAGGGCTCGAACCCGTGTCCCCTGCATTGGCAGGCGGTTTCTTAACCACTGCGCCACCAGGGAAGCCCTAACAAGAAGGTTTGAGCCAAATTGTTTCTGCACTTTTGCCAGTAAGAATACTGCTAAGAGCCACTACTTAGGGAGTAAGAATTAGGAATATTGTATTTCATGAGAAAAGGGATTTTATTCAAGCCCTGTGATGAGGGAGGGCTACAAGGAAAATGAAGGCCCTGTGGTTAAACCAAGCTTCAGTTAATGTGAGGCGGAGGAGTGAGTGTTTAGGGTGAAGGTTGAAGATCTAGAGGAATATGTTCACAACAAAATGTCTGTTTCAAAGGCCCCAGTAAGAAGGACTATTGAGGGGGTGAGGATGGCCAATAGAATGGGAATTTATGTCCGGGAATGGATAGGACTCATCAGAATTGTATGAAAATAAAGGAAACAGTACCAAGAGGGAAGGATAGACTGAAAAGAAAGGAGATGGTACCTAGAAGGCAGGTAGTAGGAATTTCAAGGCTGAAGAACCTATGTGGTTGGGCAAAATAATGCTAGTTCCACCTAATGCTTGCATAATATTTTCTGGTTCACAAGGCATGTTCTGATGCGTCTGTGGAATTTAGTATCAACACCAATCATTTGTGAGCTATTATTATTATCCCTGCTTTATAAATGAGGAAATTGAGGCTCAGGGAGATTAATTGATTTGCTCAGGTCACCTAGAAAAATAAAGAGTGACGACTTGAACGCAGGCATGCTGCCAGCACATGCAGTGATTTTTTTTTTTCTCCCGGTCTGCTAGAGTATCCACACCTATGGAATTAGGCAAGGGGATGACAGACCAGTTTTAAGATGTCTGCTTTTGATCTGTTTTGAGGGCCTGGCCTTATTCAAGGCCAATCTTGGCTAGAAGATATCCATGGTGATTGACGCCTCTTGGGGATTTCAGTGGTAGATGGAGATATAGTTTGTACTAAACTAGAATTTCTTATCAGCCTGAGTGCTAACCAACCAGGTAGACAGAATGAGAATGCAGAGCAACTTTTCACTTTACTCTGTTATACCTTGGTAGTGGGGTTCATTATTTTGTGGGAAGCTTTTTGTTACCGTGTTAGCAAAATTAGGTTACGAAAAAAGAAAACATTCCGTAGTTTGACAAAAATTGCATGGAAATTATCCCCTGCTGCAGATTCCCTGGCTGGGATTCTCCTTCCCATTTATGAATAATCAGGCCTCCCCACAGATTTTCATTTGCTAAAGGAGGTCTTTCCTGATACCCCGGTGCTGGTCTGCAGAGATTCTCCAGCTTTTACTCTCAGGTTCAGGATCAGTAGTCACCAGCCACATGTGGCTCTCAAGCACTTGAAATGTAGTTAGTCCAAGGTTAGATATGCTCTAAGTGTAAAGTACACACCAAATTTCAGCGACTGAGCACAAAATAAAATGTGAACCAACTTAAAATTGATTACATGTTGAAATTATATTTTCTTGGATATAGTGGGCAATATATATATATATTTTAAAATATTTATTTATTTGGCTGTGCTGGGTCTTAATTGCGGCACAGGGGAGCTTTAGTTGTGGCATGTGGAATCTTTAGTTGCAGCATGCGAATTCTTAGTTGCGGCACGTGGGATCTAGTTCCCTGACCAGGGATCGAACCTGGGTTCCCTGCATTGGGAGCTCAGAGTCGTAACCACTGGACTTCCGGGGAAGTCCCAAAATATATGTTACTAAAATTAATTTTCCCTGTTACTGTTTACTTTTTTTTTTTAAACGCAGCTCCTAGAAAATTTGACATCACACGTAAGGTTCACATTATATTCTGGTTTCAGTGCTGCTCTGGAGGTTGTTGAAGTCAGCTTGCCTAGTGTGAATTCAGTAAAGGCCACACAGTTATCTCCAAGAAATCTCCTCATCTAATTTGCAAATTCCAGTTAGAAATTTAGTTTCAGTCAAATAAGTTTTTGCTACCAACCCCTCCCTAACTGCCACCAACCCCTCCCTAGGTGCCACTACCACCAAAAATACAGATTTTCCCTGGGAAAAGCAATGCATTTACCTTCATATTTTTCTAGACTTTTGTACTCCTAAAGCACCATTTACTTTAGTCATATGGAACTACTTGCAGCTGACGCAACAAATCATACTACATACCATGTCTCCAATTCCTATGCTCACTGCACACTTTGGTCTAAAGAACTCCTACTTGTCCCTCAAAGGACAGCTCAAAAGTTGCCTTCTTAGGAAAGCAGCTGTGACATTTTACTATGATGTACTTACCCCTCTGCTGTGCTCCCACTGTGCCCCTCCCACTGTGCCCCTTGCACTGTGATTGCACTGTGATTGTGGAGGGACTGAAGGGCCACTCTTCTAGACTGTAAGCTCCTTGGGTATTTTTATTTCATTCTGTATCTCCAGCACCTAGCACAGGATCTGGTACTTAGTAAGTTTCCAGCAAATGTTTGTTGAATTGAATGGAAAAAAAAAGATCAAATTGATGGATTTGCAGCTGCTCCTGGCTTCGTGTTCTCTTTTCTGCTGCTGGTTTTGTTTTTTCTTCTCATATTTATCACCTACTTTTTGCATATTATTTTATCTTTTCAGGCTGTTGGTATTTATGTAAGGCACCTTAAATAGAGTTCTGTCATTTTAATCTAGATGCTGCCTCTCAGGAAATAAAACATGGTGGGCAGAGCTCAAAGCTCAAGACTTCCAGTTACTTCTAGGACATTATCAACAATGGAGGGCAGTAGTACATAGAGAAGCATCTTTCTGGCAACCAGCACTGCCACTTATAGACAGAAAACCACAGCATGATTTGTCCTTATCAAACTGTCTGTTCAACCTGAAGTCTCCTGCTAGGGGGATGCTCTGTTTATAGAGATAGTTATAATCGTGGGGAGATAGGGTTATACCTTCTGTTTCTAATGTTTCTTCTGTCTTGTTTCGTTTGTTTTTAATCATCATTGTATTTTAGAATGAATAGGAACCGGATCAACAATGCCTTCTTTTTGAATGACCAGACTCTGGAATTTTTAAGAATTCCTGCCACTCTTGCACCACCTACTGACCCATCTGTGCCCATCTGGATTATTATATTTGGTGTGATATTTTGCATCGTCATAGTGGCAACCATGCTATTGATTTTGTCAGGAATCCGGCAACATAGAAGGTAAGATATTTAAAGGGAGTGATTTAAAGAACATTTTCTTGTTTACTCATGACTTGGAAAAACAAGGAGAGGATTTTCCCCTAGATGAAGAAAATGTGTTATATCTGAAACTGAAAAAATTGGTGATTTTTCAAAATATCACTTATGCTCTTGTTTTTGGAGACTTTTTGGAGTCCGTGTCCCTTAGTTAACTATGGGTCCTTCCATTACTATCTTTCTTTCTATTCTACACCATGTGAATGTTTTATATCTAGAGTTGGTTTTAATATCTGGGTTATGATTTTGTAAGCTGGATATACAGAGCTAAGCAGACTTTTTGGGTAGGCAGAGTTAATCTTTGCTAGTCATCCACCTCCAAAGACTAGTAGTTCCGTAGTCCTTTTCATGCCTCCTCACCTTGGCCTGCCTCTTCCAGTGCCTGCAGCCTCCACCTTGTACTACACACTTTTGCGATGTTTTATATTCCCTCCCTTTGATGGATGCTCTCCCTCTAGTGCCTATGATTTTATATAGACCCGTGTTCTTCACAGTGGCCTTTGAATCAACTTCCTGCATCAGAATTGCCTGGAACACTTGTTTAAAATATAGGTTCCTTTGCCCTACCACAGACCCACTAAAGTTGATTCTCTGAAGGAGGTGCATTCTTTTAACTGAAGTTTAGTTGATGTACAATTGAAGAAAATATGTTTTAATGAATATCTAGGCTATTCTAATTCACTTAGTTTCAGAGCTTCCAAATTAAGTACTTACATTTAGATTCCCACTCCTGGAGTTCATTTAGCTGGATTCTGGGGCACATGCAAACTTTGCTGTCAAAATTATTGGTATTAGAGAATTTCAGACCAGTGGGAGAGTTATTTAGGTAGAGAGGAGACAAGATTTCTTAGCACAATGAAAGGAGAAAATAATTTTGTTTACAAGCACCTCTGATCCAGAGGGGAAGTGAAGAGAGTCCTTAACTCTTCAGTAGACACTCTGATGCTTCTAAACCTTCCCTTCTGATACCAAGGAAGAGGAATTCTGGTAAGTGGAATCACAGGCACACACATTGGTTTTCAAAAGGGTTGGTGCCCACACGGGACATGCAGGTTGTGTTTGGCCAAGTGTGTGTTTGACTAAATGTTTCTCCTGAGACTTTCTACTTTCCATATTGTTCACCCTGGTTATTAGCAGAAGGTAATCATTTTAAATTTGGGGCTTTATAATTTTTTTCACAAATGGTAAGTGAAATGCTATGGAATAAATGTGATTTATGTGTAGTGCCCAAATTAAGCTCAAAGATTAAGATCAAGTTGTACTTGCTTGCTTTTATTGCTCTTGGCGTGACACATAATGCTGAGAGGCTTGGTACAACTTATTAATCTGTTTTGTTTTGTTTTTCAGAATATTAAGAAATATTCTCTTGTAGTATTTGAATACCTATGTTTAATAGTTTTAAGTTTTATATTAATCCTGAAATGCTAGGATTCTATGGTTTCCAACAACTGTAACCTTTGTGAATTCACGCCATCTCCTTGGTTCCCAATTTCCTCACTAGTACAATATGGTGAAGGAGGTAGAAGAATGGGCTCTGGAGATAGACTGCTTGGATTCAAAGTATTTATTGCCTAGACTCTGCTCTTGTATGTAATCCATTAACTGTATGGATATCAGGAAATACAGGCAATGAGTCAGGGAAACCAAGCTCAAGAGGATATGGTTTGTGGTGCTCGAGTCAAGTTGGTTAAATTTTTCTTTACTGTCTGTGCATAGATAACTTTGCTCGAGTGACAGTGAGGTATATTAGAAAGAATTAATTTGCTGGGATCAAAAGAGTTAATAGAGTTCTTGAAGTAGTGCCTGGCACTACTGCTGTTAGCTGTTACTGTTATTCTATTATCCTGCCAGTTGCTGGTCTTTCAGCTCGTTAGTGCTGGGATCAGCTATCTCTTCCTTCGGAGCAGATTCTGCAATAATATAAAAACTGAGTGTGTAGCATCATAATCTGTTGCCCGGGAGAAGGGAGGCTGTTGTCACAACCTTGCCTTCACAAATTTAGTTCATGTTCAAACCAGGAAACAGATGGACAAATCTCCTGTGTCAACCTGGAGAGCATCAGTAGTTAGCAAATAGAGTCAGGACAGTTATGAGAACCTTTTGAAGAGAAATTAATTTGTTGGGTTTTCCATTTGGTACGGAAAAAATTTGGTGGGTTTTTCTTGGGCAAAGTATCACTTCAAAGGTGGGGCGAGGGTGCAGTTTGAAGTGGGGAGAGCGCTGATCATTGTGATGAAAGCCTTTTCTAATTGTGGAAAAATAGGAGTTGCCCCTGAAAGCCTTTACTGTTGAGGAAGACAAAGATTTGTTCAAGAATCCAATTCATACATTAGGTAATAATGAACACAGTTTGTGTGATACAAAATCTTAAACCTAGAAGACCAGGAGGGACCACAGGGTCATCTGAATCACCATTCTGCTTCTGCAGAGAAGAGTGCCCATGTCATCTAAGACATGTGCATCTTTATACTTACTACTGAAGAAATTGCTCAAGTAAAGCTTTAACTATTCTGTTAGCTGTGTCAATAACAGCATTCCATTGACTGTTCAGAACCACTGGGTGGAAAGTATGCAGTCACTGGGGGCCCAAACTAGGTGAACTCAAATACTAGTTATACCCTTTAGCTGAGTGACCTTGGTTGCATCATGTAATTTCTGTGGGTCTGTTTCTCCATCTGTTATAGGGAGATAATGTCTCACAGGACTTAAATGAGGATTGGGTGAAAAAATGTGTATAAAGTACCTAGGTTATAGCATGTACTAAATAAACAGTAATTAGTATTATCCAAGATGAGCTTAACCCATTTCTGTGATTAAGGGATGCTAGAAAAAGATCTCTTTTCCATCCAGATATTGCCACCGTACTGCAGAAGATTTTCCAGTTCAATGACTTATTGCTTGAGATTTTATTAGTTAACAAACACCTATTTTATTTTATTATTTTTTTCATAAATATTTTATTTTATTTGACCATGGAAGTTTATCAGTCTATATTTGACTATGTCCTCAACCAATATAACTACAAATGAGGTCCAGCAATGCCATTCCAACTGCATGATTTTAAGAAATTTATTCTGACATGGTGCCTAGACATTTTCTCCCATAAATTAGCCCCACTCCTAAGGATCAAGCAAGGCTGGAGATGGTCTCTGGAGAATGTGGTCTTGACCATGGGCTCAAATCTCAGGTAGAGTTGGTTTTTTTTTTTTTTTTTTACCATCTTTATTGGAGTATAATTGCTTTGCAACGGTGTGTTAGTTTCTGCTTTATAACAGAGTGAATCAGTTATACATATACATATGTTCCCATATCTTTTCCCTGTTGCATCTCCGTCCCTCCCACCCTCCCTATCCCACCCCTCTAGGTGGTCACAAACCACCTAGCTGATCTCCCTGTGCTATGCAGCTGCTTCCCACTAGCTATCTATTTTACATTTGATAGTGTATATATGTCCATGCCACTTTCTCACTTTGTCCCAGCTTACCCTTCCCCCTCCCCATATCCTCAAGTCCATGCTCTAGTAGGTCTGTGTCTTTATTCCTGTCTTACCCCTACGTTCTTCATGACCTTTTTTTTTTTCCCTTAGATTCCATATATACGTGTTAGCATACGGTTTACGTTTTTCTCTTTCTGACTTACTTCACTCTGTATGACAGACTCTAGGTCCATCCACTTCACTACAAATAACTCAATTTCATTTCTTTTTATGGCTGAGTAATATTCCATTGTATATATGTGCCACATCTTCTTTATCCATTTATCTGTTGATGGACACTTAGGTTGCTTCCATGTCCTGGCTATTGTAAATAGAGCTGCAATGAACATTGTGGTACATGACTCTTTTTGAATTATGGTTTTCTCAGGGTATATGCCCAATAGTGGGATAGCTGGGTCATATGGTAGTTCTATTTGTAGTTTTTTAAGGAACCTCCATACTGTTCTCCATAGTGGCTATATCAATTCACATTCCCACCAACAGTGCAAGAGTGTTCCCTTTTCTCCACACCCTCTCCAGCATTTATTGTTTCTAGATTTTTTGGTGATGGGCATTCTGACCGGTGTGAGATAATATCTCACTGTAGTTTTGATTTGCATTTCTCTAATGATTAATGATGTTGAGCATTCTTTCATGTGTCTGTTGGCAGTCTGTATATCTTCTTTGGAGAAATGTCTATTTAGGTCTTCTGCCCAGTTTTGGATTGGGTTGTTTGTTTTTTTGATATTGAGCTGCGTGAGCTGCTTGTAAATTTTGGAGATTAATCCTCTGTCAGTTGCTTCATTTGCAAACATTTTCTCCCATTCTGAGGGTTGTCTTTTGGTCTTGTTTATGGTTTCCTTTGCTGTGCAAAAGGTTTGAAGTTTCATTAGGTCCCATTTGTTTATTTTTGTTTTTATTTCCATTTCTCTAGGAGGTGGGTCAAAAAGGATCTTGCTGTGATTTATGTCATACACTGTTCTGCCTATGTTTTCCTCTAAGAGTTTGATAGTGTCTGGTCTTACATTTAGGTCTTTAATCCATTTTGAGTTTCTTTTTGTGTATGGTGTTAGGGAGTGTTCTAATTTCATACTTTTACATGTACCTGTCCAGTTTTCCCAGCACCACTTATCAAAGAGACTGTCTTTTCTCCAGTGTATGTTCTTGCCTCCTTTATCAAAGATAAGGTGACCATATGTGCATGGGTTTATCTCTGGGCTTTCTATCCTGTTCCACTGATCTATATTTCTGTTTTTGTGCCAGTACCATACTGTCTTGTTTACTGTAGCTTTGTAGTATAGTCTGAATTCAGGGAGCCTGATTCCTCAAGCTCCATTTTTCGTTCTCAAGATTGCTTGGCTCTTCGGGGTCTTTTGTGTTTCCATACAAATTGTGAAATAGTTTGTTCTAGTTCTGTGAAAAATGCCAGTGGTAGTTTGATAGGCATTGCATTGAATCTGTAGACTGCTTTGGGTAGTAGAGTCATTTT